AGCCACATCTGTTATGTTAACACATGACTTAGCCTCAGAGTCAAGTTCTTCATTTACCTTCTCCTCTAATGGTTCCATTTTTACATTTCTATTGTCTATTTCATCACTAAGACATGCATCAGAAAGAGTACCAAATTCCTCTGTTGATTCTTTGATCTGTTTTCTTGTAATCTCAACTTCTCTTACATTCTTTTCTTGTTTATCTCTTAGCTCTTCTAGTTTCTCTTGACATGATTTGAGAGCTGTCGTTGACATCAAAATCTGAGCTTCTTTATCTTCTATAACAACAACACTTTCTTGAAACTCATCTTGTAAACTACAAACCCTTCCTTGTTTCTCCATAATGATATTCTCAATCTCCCAATACTTTGCAAGTCCATTCTCATAAGAACTTTTCACAAACTCTTTCTCAGTTTGTAAAACAAGAATCTCTTTCTGCAACTTATCAATCTCTTCTACCGCCTCGGTTTTACTCAATCCGGACTTGTTAACAGCAAGAGAGGAAGAGGCATGATGTTCTTTAAAAGATTTCCTCGACTTGAACATCTTTGCAGCTTCAATAGGCAAATCAGGAACTTTTGGAATGTTTTTATTGTGATTTTTATGGTTTCTTGGAGAGATAGGACCGGTATCATCGTCTTCGTTCATTGCAAACTCAGGGACTTGGTCAGGAAAAACAGATGCAATTGTTGTGTTAGCGTTTTGAAGCTCTTTAGAGATATGATCATACCGTTCTGCTAAAGCGCGATAAGCTTTGAAAGATTCTTCGACGAAACTTATCAATTCGGGTCTTCTTTTGTAATACATTTCTGCGCGCTTTGCAAATGAATCACCTTCATCTTCCAAAAGCTTAAGCGCGTTTTCGACCTTCTCTTCGATATCTTATAATCAAGAGATGGAAAAACATTTTATCAGAATTTTTTTTGAAACGATGAAAGAAGTGAATAATAAATAATCTATGGAGGTTAATATGTATATGTTACCTTGAAGGTTTTCTTCGAGCCATTTGGATTGTTTGGTTCGGACATGGCTTGCCCACCACCATGAGTATGCATTACTCGCAGCTCTTCGTAACATTCTTAATTATTTCTCTAACCTTTCTTTTTAATCAATACATTGAACAAAATCTCATCTTTACTTCAATAACTTTTTTTCTTAAGTTTTGTTTAGAAAAACCAAACGAGAGGTG